GCTGCTTCAGCCTCTCGTTTCTTGCGGGAGCTGCGTTGTTTCTCTTCCAGCCGCTGTTTCTCGGCGTTGGCCTCATCCCAGCGGCCGTTTTCCATCAGGCGCTGGTCGGGGCGGCGCCGGCTGTCGGTGGGGGCGGTACCGGGCTCGGGGGCGTTCAGGGTCAGCGCCAACTCCGAGAAATAATACATGTTCTCCGCGTATTTCCTGCGGGAACAAAACAAACCACTCGGCTCAGGACCCGAGCGCTGCGTCCTCGCGAAACGCGGAGTCGTCCTGTCCCTCCCCCTCTGCACTGCTCTCTGTTCTCGGGGACATCCCTGTCCCCTGACTCACGGGAGGGGGTTTCTCTTCCACAGCAGCACCCGGCTGTCCTCGGCCTCCTGGGGTTTCTGTTTTCCCTCCCCTCCGTTGTCCCCAGAGGTCAGGGTCACCTTGTAACAATCCATCTTCTCGTCCCAAGTGCCCAACAGGACAAAATGGACCTTCCCGCTGGGGTCTGTCACCTCCCCAGTGACCTGGAGGGACAAAGGATGGACTGGATCAGGACACAAGCTGTCCCAGCACATGTGTCCCCCCCTTTGCCCCGTGTCCCTACCTTCCTGGCCACATCCCTGGAGAAATAGCTGTAAGGGACAAACTTGAGGTTGCACTTGTCCCCTGTCTTGTGGTTCACGATCTCGATCTCGCCCGACTGCAGAGGAGGAGGAAAAGCTCAGATCCAGCCCAGGGCCCCTTCCTGGGGGGAAACTGAGGCACAGCGAAGGGGGAACCCCATCCAGGGGTGGTGGTGGTGGGGGGTTTTGACCCCACCTGGTCTATCCAGAGTTTGCCCACGATGATGTTGTGCACGGTGGTGGTGACTTTTTTCCACGTGTAGTGGTTGCCGGAGGAGTGGAAGACGCAGTGGATGGTACCTGAGGGAGGGGACTTTTTTTGCTTGGAAACGGTCCCCAAACCCACCCTCGAGGGGTCATTTTCCCCTCCCAGGAGCTGTGTTGCTCACCCAGGGGCATGATGGAAAGATATTTCCCCCGAAACTTGCTGGTGATTTTAATTTCCTGCCGAAGGGTCCAACCGTGCTTGGAATCGGCGTGATGAGCGGGGGCCGGGGGGTGGTGGCTCACCTGGGTTGGGGACAAAGGGCCATGGAGCAGGCCAGGAGACAAGGAGAAGCTTGGAGAGGTGGTTTCCCAGCCTTACCTGCTCACAGAGGGAGCGGTAACCGTTCTCTTCCAGTCGATCCAGCTCGAAGGTTTCTCCCAGGAGAGGGTTGAAGGGTTTGCTGGTGCGGAACACGGTGGTGGAGTAGGAGGAGACGGTGAAGGCGGCGACCAGGCAGAGCTGCTCCAGGGAGCTCTCACACCTGGCTGCTCTGTCCAGCAGCTCGTGGTACTCCAGGTCTTCTGTCAGGCGTTGGAGCATGGAGAGGGGCTCGTTGAAGTTGACCTGGAGGAAGGAGGAGAGAGAGGTTGGAATTGGGGAGGATGGAGGAGGGAAGGGAGAGGGAAGGGAGAAGGATGGGAGAGGTTGGAGTCTGGGGGGATGGAGGAGAGAGGTTGGAGTCTGGGGGGATGGAGGAGAGAGGTTGGAGTCTTTGGGGATGGAGGAGGGAGGTTGGAGTCTTTGGGGATGGAGGAGGGAGGTTGGAGTCTGGGGGGATGGAGGAGAGAGGTTGGAGTCTGGGGGGATGGAGGAAAGAGGTTGGAGTCTGGGGGGATGGAGGAAAGAGGCTGGGGTAGGGGGGGGG